GACCGACTCCCTGAAGCCCGGATAGTTCCTCTGCGGTCAGGCTGGCCGCCGGGAAACCTTCCGGGAGTATAGCCACCCTGATGAGGGTGGCTTTCTTGGCAGCCTCCGCGTAAGTCGGACGGGGTCCGATGACCGGCGGTGCCGAGCTAGAGGGTCTTCCTCCAGCGGTTGTCGGCTTCTGGTTTTGATGGGGCTGGGAAGGTATCTTCCTGGCCCGCACTTTTGCCTTTACTGCCGCTGCTGCTGATGTGCTAGGCCCCTCTTGCTCAGGGACCCGTGAGGACGTCTCACTAGCCCCCCGGGCCGTGCCTAGACCTTTTGGGGGTGTCCGTCGGTGGTGTGCGGCTGGTGTTCAGCCGTTTACCAACCGGTGCTGTCCCCACAGCCGGCTGCTCCCTCGGCTCCTTTGCCTTCTTCAAGGCCTCCTCTGGTTTCATGCCCTGCATGAGGTACCTCAGGTACCACTTTACCTTTGACCCTGGCAGGCCACGCCTGTTGGGGTCGTCCAGTCCTCCAGGCTGTCCCAGGGCTGGAAGAGCGTCCTGCTTCTTCAGCTGCCTGATAGAGGTTGGCCTATCAGATGCGAGAGGTGGGCGTGCTGGCAGGGTAGCTCCTGCTGGCACCCCACGCTCCCTGGCTGGGAATGTCTGGGCTGCTGGTTTATTCCTAGGCGGGTGCGCTGCCGCCTGGGGTCTGTCGCCTTCGAGGGATCTTTCCTCAAAGTGTCTTGCGACACCGGTTGCAGGGATATCCTGCGGGATTTTTATTTCTTTGCTTCTTTTCATGTGTTCCCACGAGCTGCGGAGAAGTATGTGGTCCGCCCGGGCAGAGATCCGCTGTACCCGGGTAAGGCGTACTTAGGACAGGCGGTCGCCACTTGCCTGAACCCTCCGTTTGCGACTGGGCTATTTGTTAACTCGGGCCCCCAGCCAGGCTGACTATCGGCACGGGTCGAATGACACCTTAGTCCGGCACCGAGGTGAGATGTGGGGGATAGGATGGAGGTGGGTAGTCGTGAGGGAGGGGGTGTGTAAGGCTACGGTGTTAAGACGGCCAAACAAGCGTCTTGTCGGTATACCTCCATCGGTATACCCGCTGTTTGTCCGGGGTTGCTTATTTGCTTACGCTTATTCGCAACTAACCTTCCCAGAAGGTCGTTCGCTATCCGCAACCTGCGACCCGCCTGGTGGCCCCAGCTAAGCCTCCCTTCGAACCATCCCACTAGTTCTTGAGGACCAAGATTAACATTGTTAATATTAATACATTTTTAAACGGGCTCTACATCAAAAAGGCTGTGATCAACTGTACTTCAGTGATCCTGGGGCAAGCGAACGCCAAAGCACCCAGCTATCTTTCGACTTCTAAGTACTTTCTTTAGTGACCCTTTGGTCGGTGCACCGAGTCAAATGAGCACGGAAGCGCCAGAAAGCGTTAGATAAACATAACAATACGCCCAGAAAATAATCAGGTCAATACAGTACAAAATCAAGCCGGAACGGTGTCAAAAAGTGCGTAAGCTCGTTTGTTCACACTTCATGAATGCTAAACTGATAAATATAGGAAAGAGAAAATCAAACTTGTTTGGCACCAAGTCGACCCAACCTTGTTTCGATTCGACAAAAAAAAAAAAAACAAGAATGGAAGCCATCTTCGGCAAGCCGAATAAAAATAATAAACACTTAAATATTCCTAATGACAGCAATATTGCGATTTTTATGCCAATATGTTTAGGGGCTATACCAGTTTAAATCTTTTTTTTTTAAAACGGTTTTTTTTTCTTATCAATAGTTGTCAATATCCTGTGAAAGCGGCAAGGTTTAATCCCGAATAGTTTTTGAATGGCACCTTTCTAAAGAGCGACCGGTCGCAGGCTGCACGTGAAACTTTAAACTCGTTTTGTATAGCTAGAACACAAATTGACCGATAGGTTTAAAATGATGACTGAATTATCTTGTATAAGTCCTATATGTTGGTTATAAATTGTGCATTTGGCGGAAGTTAAAAGGTAATTTTTGAATACCAAAAAACAACATTTTTGTTCAAACCGAAGCCGTTTTGTTAATACACGATATTTTGTAAAGATCCTAGGTCATTGTAGCTTTCATAGCCTTTAACAATTTTTCGATTTCAGTCATCCTTGCGACCGGAGTCATGTCAGTAGATGGAGTACTTTTTATGCCCGTTACTCGAAAAGTAAAATTGTATATTGTATTCGTTGAAAAGTATGTAACAGGTAGCAGTACGCGTTTTTGATAGTATATATATTCTTGATCAGGATCAACAGCCAAACCGTTCTAGCCATGGAGATCTATCTGCCCGTTTGTATGAACGTCGAGATCACAGAAACTATAAAAGTTAGAGATTTGGGACTTGGCAAATTTAAGTATTTCCTACGCAGCGCAAATTTATTTCAAAACAGAGAAACGCTCACTCTAACGCACACATATCGTGAAAGTGTGTACCTTCAGTCTGCGGCATGTTAACATAGATTCTAGGTGTTGGGCTCTATGTGTGTGTTTCGAGCTTATATCTTAGAAGTTTTGGTGTTTTGAAGTCCTCTGTCGCCGCTTTCCCGCGCCTCTGCAATTCCTCGGCCGCAGTTGCCGGTATTGTCTATGCTTAGGGGACTAACAAAAAGTTAAAAAATCTTAAATCCATAAATTTAGTTGATGCCCATTAATAGGGTCATTTGGTTGATAAGTGGCCTCGTTAGCTAGGGGGCTTGTAAGCCATTTCTTCTTAGTCGCGTTTGTTTTCTAGTTTCGCAAAGATATGGATATGTATTTGGCTTGTAGTTGGGCAATTTATTCTTTTGCTAACGGGATGTTTAGGCTTCTGTGGATATCTGTGTTGCGGAAGTACCAGGGCGCTGCGGTTATAGTTCTCAACACTTTTGAATGTGCTCTTTGAATCATCTCTATATTGCTGTTACTGGCATTGCTCCTTAGCTCACAGCCATATTTCCAGACAGGCTTTATAGCAGTGTTGTAGAGCATAACTTTTTATTCTAACCTTAGTGGAGAGTGGTAGCTTATTAGCCAATGCAGTTGTCGGGACTTATGATTTATTTGTACCAGCTCCGCTTCTATGTGCTTCCTCCAAGTTAGACGCCTATCTAGGCCTCCGATATATTATATGTGACTTCATATGTAGATGGTATCAATACGTTATTAAGTGCTAAATTGTGGACTATTTTTTTTGTAGGGTGAAGGTGTTCGCATTTTTGCTCGTTCACTTTTATGCGCCAATCAGATAACCATTTTTCCAACTATGGTACATGAAAAGCTAGTAATGATGATGACTTAAGTGGACATAGCGAGCGACTTACTACTGGGTCCGAGGACGCTTCCTTGTGGTACGGCTGCCGCGATGTCAACCTCATAAGTTAAGCAACTTTTGTGTCTTAAGACTCGGTTTAAAAGGTAATTTCAAGCACCTTGTGAATGTTTTGCGGAAATAGGAGCTTAATCTTAATCTCTGTCGAAAGTCTGAGAGATGTCTAGGAGAATAACAGAACAGGAGATTCTATTGACTTGCTCAATGGTACCATGCTTTTCTCTAAGTCCATATTGATGCTGCGTTCTGTCAAATGTGGCATAGTGCGTTGAATAATTAGTTTTTCCCAAGCTCTTGGAATAGGCATGAGAGGACACTTATCGGTTTGTATGACCAAGGAAGAGTTTTATCTTTTCCTGGCTTCGGAATCATAATAATAATAGATTTTTTCCACTGCTGTGGAATGTGAACCAATTTCGTTATGGGCTATAACTTATGGCATTACAAATTTTCTGATTTAATCTATTGCGCAATTTGGAAGTTGTATTACCATTTTGGGTGTGATTTTGTCAAGCCCAGGAGATTTTTATGGCTTTGGATGCTACTTAATGATCTTGGAGATCTTCGTATTCTGGAATGAGTCATCTAAGGTATGTTCGCCTTGGCTTAGTGCAGGTATTGTGAACGTGCCTAAAGATTCATTGGGCTTAAAAACGTTGAAAAGGTGTTTTGCTAAAGAATACTAAAGAATACTTCAGGCATCCTCTATAGTTGGCAGTATGTGTACTACCGCAATTACCGGATTTTCTCACTGATGCATCGTCCTTGTTGGCTTTTCAGGATGCTGTGGCATGTAGGTCTCCAAAAGCAACGCACACTGAGCGCAGGGTGCAAAATGTTTTCGTCTGACCGAATTCTTGACAGTTGTGCATTGAACAGGGGTTTTCCGCTTTTGTGATTCCTCACAGATATTCTACGATGTAGAAGGTATTGAACTGAGTTTTTCTTGATTTGCTTCGTTTAGGGACTTAGTTCAATTTTAAACAATTTAATTATGTTTACGTTCGGCTTCTCAGACTTCTGGGTTTGGCGAACCCAATTTGTTGCACTTTTCGATCGTTTTGTCGGGAATTACGGGGCGCACAGGTGCCGCTTCAATTTTATGGCATGTTGCCACATCCAATTTATTTTTACACGTTGACATCGTGGTAAATTTTAATATATTTATATATTAGGCACAACCAAGTGCTTATGAATGCCTGAAAGCAACTTTTCGCGTAACTAATCACTTGTGATTATTTTTTTATTTTGACTGTCCTTTTTGCTGATTTTGTCGGAGCGATTTAAAAACACGACCGCTCTGCTCGACTGTGGCGCTCTCACCTAAACATCGATTGTTTTGTAGGGGTGTTAATGAACGCTTTGCAGCCGTTATTTTAAATTCATATATTTGTATTCAACTTAAGTTTTGGTATTACGAAGACAAGTACTTGCAAGCAAACACCTTATTTCACTCGCTAAAACGGGCTTGCGAACAAGCAAGGGAGAGCGAGGGGGAAAGCAACAACGGAAGACAGTCTGGCAACTTGGATGAAGCCTCATCTATTGCATCAGGGTTGGGAAACGAAAATCTGGTTCGTTTTCTACAACAACAACAGGAGCTTATTGAACGTTTGGCTGAGCAACAAACTACGTTTTTGCGGGCAAACTCGACAGCAAACGTAATGCAAAACGAGTTGCCAAAAATACACATAAAGTCTTTTTCTGGTGACTACAAGGAGTGGCCAGCATTCAAGAACATCTTCGAGAGCACGATTCACAGCAAGCAGCATTTGACAGGGATACAAAAGTTTCACTACTTTAAGACATACATTGCGGGTGAAGCAGATGACTTGATACGTCATATGCCAATTACGGATGCAGCTTACGAGTCTGCTTCGAATTGCTTGATTGAGCGCTATAACAGACCACGTCACATTGTAAACACTCTGCTGGATACTTTTGTAAACTTACCCTCGACATCCAGAGCAGATGTATCAATACTGCGAAAAGTAACAGACGGAGCTACAGAGATTGTACGCGGCTTAGATGCAGCAGGGCAAACAGACAGGGACTGCTGGGTAATTCATTTCATTCTGACCAAGATTGACGCTGAAACTCGACGCAAGTGGATTGAGGGCAGCCGTGAACTGGAATCGCCGACTGTGGACGATCTACTCAAGTTTTTAGACCGCCGCTGCGAGGAATTTGAGCTCAGCAAAAGTGAGCCTGACAAAGTCTTCCAAGTTGGCTCACAGCAAAACAAAGCCAAGCGATCGTCACACGCCTTGGTATCAACGGAGGACGGTGCTTGTGCTAAATTTAACTCCAAGGAGCACAAGATCTTTATCTGCCCAAAGTTTATGGACTTATCAGTGGAGCAGAGACGCACTTTTGTTAAAGCTAAATCCTTTTGCTTAAATTGCTTGAAGTTCGGGCATGTGTCACGCAGGTGTGAATCCAAATTCACATGCAGAACTTGTCACAATCGTCACCACTCTCTACTACAAGTAGAAGATTCTACTGCACTCGCCGCTGTAATCAGGACACATTCAAGGGACGAGGAGCAGTGCGACCTCGGCGCTCCAGATGATACAACGGTGACCATCAGCAACATTGCTCGTGTACAAGACACTCCATGCGCTGAATCTTCGTAAAACGGATCAGCTACTACTACACAGCCACAAGGATTACGGAAAAGCGCATTGCCCACAGCTCTAGTACTCGTTCGCAACGCCAAAGGATCACACACTTCCTGTCGGGTGCTTTTGGACAGTGGTTCGGAACTGTCATACATCTCCGAGCGATGCGTGCAGGCGCTCGGCCTGGCACGCTTGCCATCACGAATTTTGGTGTCAGCAATTTCTTCGATCAAGGCTGAGACAACTAGAGGCTGCAGCGCACTGGATATTCAGTCAAGAATATCCGAACACACAATGAAGGTACGTGCTCACGTTCTCAGCAAAATTACATCGACGTTGGCAAGACACAATATCAACGCCTCAGCACTTAAGGCGTTCGATGGCTTGGAGCTTGCAGATTCTGACTACCAGTAGATATTCTCTTGGGCAGCGATTGCGTTTGGACCGTGTTCACTGGTAAAAAACTGTTCGACAGCCAGGGGAAGATCATCGCCATTCCGACCATATTTTGTAACGCTTGTGGCAGGCACATCGATGGGCAGTGCCATCTATGAGGCAAAAACCGAAAGTGTCGCCATCTAGTGGTCAGTTGGGTGCCGCGATTGGGGTAAGAATTTTCGGAGACGAAGAGGCAACAGAGTCAATTGTCATGATCCCGGAAAACGGAGAGTTATTCTATGGGGGCTAACTTAGCTTCCCGCCCAGAGCCACGAGCTGCTGGCTTTCTTTCCCTTTTCGGCAGCCATCGAGTGCGGTTTAGTTCAATTGTAAGTCTCGTATTTAATTAGTTGGTGAAAGTTTGTTTGAAAATTATAATTCTATAGTGGTCTTGTGTAAAGTGACGGATAGAATTTCCAGAGTATATATAGCGCTAAATCCTGTTTATGGGTAAGAAAAAATGAAATGGTTGCGAAGATTGCAGACCCAAAAGTGATTTTTGATTTAGGTTTGGCGCTTAGTATCCGATATTGGATCCGGCCGTTGCTGTAGAGGGAACAATTCATCAAGTCCCCCTAAAGAAGAGCGAAGTCATCCGACGGGGGAGGGAAATTATCGTCGCATAAAGGGGTCTCAAAGGCCTAAGAGTTCCCTAAGATAATTATTTAATCAGCTTAAGTCGCTGGGAGCGGAGTTAAGACTAAGAGAGGGCAAAAGAGTCAAAAAGAACTCGAGATGTAACACCTGCCCAAATTACACATAATATTTATATTCCCTCTTCATCATCTTCGTTATCTCCCGCCTGCGAGCGAAACTTAGCGAAGCTCAGCTTGACAGGCAGTTTTTCGGCGCGCTGATCTAGTTTAGACGTTTCGGTCCACGCTCGGACGAAAATTTAATTTAACTCGTCGAACAACAATGCGGAATAATTGTTAAGTCGCCGCACGGAATGTAAGGCAGTTCGGAAAGCCAAAGATCGGTCGGAGTTCGCTGAAAGTGGATAGTTTATAAGCTATTTTATAAGTTTTTTTTTCCTTTTTTTTTGCGGTCTAGGTTATGTGAAATAAGCAGTGAGAGGGGAAAAGTAAGAAAAAAAGAAGGGAAAGAAGAGAAAAGTGCAGTGATGGTTAGAAGGCCAGAAAGGCTTTAATAATGAATAACTAGAAGCACGAATTGCTTTAGGCATAATTTATTTTAATTTTTTTGGGTGGACAAACAAGCCAATGTGTTAAAAAAAAAGAAGGAAAGAGCTGCAACAAGAAAAAGAAGAGAAAAATTTTGCGGTTGTTTTGCACAGTGGGCTTGCAGTGTGTATATGAAGAAATTTAAATTTTCAGCCTAAGGTGCACTTACGGAAGCGCTTTCGTCGGTGGATCTCCGGAATGTTGGTGAGTCAGATATCACGTTTTATTAATATGTCTTTGTAAAATATATATATCAAATGAATTACTTTGCGTCCCACCGTACAAAACTGAGTAGTTCGAATAGTCCATAAAGGAGAAGAGAAAAAAAAGGAGCGGATTTACCGTCTCTCTTGTCTCTCAAATTTTTGAGTGAGATGAATTTCGAAATAAGTAAAACAAACCACTCAATTTGAATTCGCCGTGCGCTCTTCACTGCAATTTTCTGCCATTTCCGTATTCTCGCTCTCGAATAATATTTTTTTTGATTTTAAATTCGTATTGCTATCTTACTGCAAAGATTAATTTAATAATTCAATTGTATTGCATGTATTTATGTTCGCATTTAATATCTTTTCAATATGTTCTCTAATTTTAAGAATTTTATTTAGATTTTAAATACACTTTATAATGATTAGCTAAATTGTATTTTTGTTTGCCTTCGACTAGGATGGGTCCCCGCTAGAACCCGAATCAGTAGAAGGGGCCGTTCGATAATATGATGGGAAGTTTTCGGTAAAGAACGGCCAAGGCAGGGAGGGCAAACTTGGTTCCATTAGAACACCCGAGGAACTTTAGGAATTCCATGAGTAAAATAACTATCCCTCTTCGCGCTGGCGCGGATTCACATGATTTCTCCTACCCCATACCACTTGTCGCTGCACGCGAAAATTCGATAAAATTTTAGAATTTACTGGCTCGTGACGAAGGACAAGATCACCACCCCAAATAGCCGACAAGGAGCAGCTGGACCATCGCGCGTGCGTCCTTATCGTCATGCAACAACACCCTAGCCACGTACTCGTTACAGTAATAATAATATAATTCTATTTATCTGGCGCCCAACGTGGGGCCAAAAATCAGGGTTTTAGATGTGGAAAAAAATGAAAAACAAAATTTTACTCTAAGAATCCCGCTCACACAAGAAAAAAACTTTAATTTTCATCTAGTTGGTAATGCAGTATCACAGTGGGTTGAAAGATGTGTTTACATCCCAGCCACGGTTGCTGCGGTACTCATGCCAAATATCTCGTCTCTAGTCTTACCTTAATTTCGATATTAGGCGCATAGGACATATAGTTGAATATGTTGTACGCAAGCGTTCAACTAGCCACGGCTGATGTTGAAAGTAAGAGTGGGGCAAATCTATTCTATTTACTTTTTTCGGGACCTAAAGCAAGGGTTAATTAGACGCTTGGACATGCAGGTGGTAAACTTATCAATAAGTTTTCACCTGACCACGGATAATGGGCCGGCGCTGAGGACCCATCTATCAAATTTCATGCAATCGCCATCGCGTCTGTCAGGTGCATTGGATAGACAGCCGAAATCTTTTAAAAAAGAGGTCGACTGGCCACGGTTGACAGCGGGAAACGTAGGCCAGATTGCAAAACAAGAGAGAATTGGAAGAGAACCGATCAGCTCTCTTATAGTTGTTGTTTTAGTGAATCTGAGTTTGGCAATAGTCGAAGGGCTAGCCACGTAGCTCTGCATAGGCAGCAATTATATTATTTTTATCATCTTCTTTTACTCACGGATTCCGAGTCAAACTGCTGATAAGGGTTTGACAGGGGGAACTCCTATGTTTGAAGGCAAACTGTTTATATATTTCTATCGTGTTTTTGATTTTTCTTATAATTTTTTTTTTAGCTTACTTAATACTGGTACTCTCTCATTTATTTGTTCCTTTCCTCTCATTTCTTACTTAGACCCGAGTTTCTCTTGAGTGATTTTAGAAATTGAGTGTCTTTAAGAATTGAGCGTAGAAAATAAAACAAATAAGCTGGTCCGCTTGTTAAGGTCATTGACCGCAGGTGAAGAAAAAAATAAAAGCAAGGAAGGAATGATTAAATGTTAGGGATTTTAGCCGAATATAATTAGTAACTTTAACTTACTCGTTCATTTAGCTGTAAATTAAAAACATATATTTTTAGGATTTTAGGTTTCTTACTTTTCTCATTGGTTGAAGATCAAAAAAAAGAAAAAAAGCCAAACAATGAGCGATGCCGATAAGGTAGAGACTCCAACGGGGTCTAAATGCAAATTGTGCGAGAAAGACTTGGCGATCTCCACAACTTACAAAACGAAATGCGGTCATGACTTCCATAAGACTTGCATAACTGGTCATTCGAAGACTCATAGGGAATGTCCGATTTGCGGAATCATTTGTTTTCAACTCCCACCGAGTGGTAAAACGATTGTCAATTCGCCAGCCCCCTCTGGGAAAACCGGCGAAAATCGCGCTGAGGTAGACATAGGGAATTTAGTGACTCAAGCGGTCCAGGGGATGAAAAATGATTTACTCACTCAACTTTCTCAGCAAATGGCTCAGATTATACAAGCTAATATTGCTGCATTGGTTCCTGGAAATCCCTTAGCACCCCCAAACCCAAGCACAAACACCAACTGGACGGATCAAGAGAGACAGCCAGTCGAAAATTTTGATCAATTCCGGAGTGAGTCCAGATTTACTCCTGTCAGCGTAGAATCCGATGCCATTTATAGACCAGATAGGGTGGGCCAAATATTAAATAGTTGGAAAATTCGTTTCAATGGCAGTCTTGATGGCATAAGCGTGGACAATTTTATATATCGAGTTGAGGCGTTAACAGAGCAAACATTAAATTCAAAGTTTGAAATTTTAGCTAGCAACGCTAGTCTATTGTTTGATGGTAAAGCTCGCGATTTCTATTGGCGATATCATAAATCCTGCAATGGAGAGGGGCTCGATTGGAAAGCTCTCTGCCAGGCTCTTCGAAAACAATTTCGGGATACCCGCTCCGATGTCGATATCCGTGAAGCAATTCGGGATAGAAAACAAAAAGAGAAGGAAAATTTTGATACTTTTCATGATGCCATTGTCTCATTAACGGATGGGTTAGAAGTGCCGCTCTCGGAAAAGTCCGTGGCAGAAATACTAGCTAGAAATTTGCGCCCTGAAATACGACATGAACTCCTTCATATCCAAATTAATTCGGTGGGGCAATTGAGAGAAATTTGTAGGCGAAGGGAAAGTTTTCTGGAGGATGTGAGGCGGAATTATGCATATACAAAGGCAACTCCTTACCGGAAGCAAGTTGCTGAACTGCTTGAAGATCCGTTGCCAGATGAAGCCGCCGAATTTTCCGACATCGAAAGCGAAGTGGAAGTGGGAGCTTTGGCTTTGATTTGTTGGAA